TCCGGAGCTGCCCGGGGTGGGGTTTGGGAGGGTCGGGAACGGCCCGGGATGAGGTTTGGGAGAGCCGCCAGGAGGGGGCTCGGGGCTTGGGGAAGAGGAGCAGGAGCGGCCCGGGACGGGGTCAGGGGAAGGAGTCAGGAGGTGTTTAGGGCTGGGGGCACAGAGGCAGCCTGGCTTCAGGGCCTCGCTGTGTGCCTTTGCCTTTTGGAGCTGGTTGAGTTATTTATTTCAGGCACTGAGAGGTAGCAAAAAATCGGTGAAGGATGTGTGGATCCCTTCCCTCACCGCTGCTGCAGGACGGTCATAGCAACAGTAGGGTCACAGAGAGGGGTGTGTGTGTGTGTGTGCGTGTGCCGAGTGTGTCAGCTTAACGACGCCCGCAGTAAAGCCGAGGGCTCTTGTGGACGCCCGAGTTTAGGTTTTGGTGGTAGCGGTTGAAGTCGGGAGCTGTGGTCAGAGGCTGTTGTAGGTCAGGCAGGCAAAGTATGAAGAAAGAAGTAATATTTCATGTTAATCAAGGGAAATGCTTCCAGGTGACCACAGTTGCCAGCTGTTGTCTCTCTGGAAGGTCTTATCAAACACATTTCTACATAGGTGCCCCAAACAAGCTTACAGAATGCTCCGTATGAAGGTGATGTCCCCCATCTCCTTGGTTTAGTGTAAAATCACGTTTTGTGTGGTTTATTTAAACAACTTTCCTGTACTCCAGCCTGGGCCTTGTTGTGCACTTCTGAAGTGAAGCTTTCCGCTAATGAGGACCGTGGCCTTACATGACAAAGAACGTGGGTTTTTTTGAAGCGCTGGTGAACACATTGTACTTTTAAGCCTGCTTATACATATGTGCTGTGAAGTCACTCTATATTGCTGATTTTCAGAGGTGCTTCCAACTTGTCCCCTTTGCATGACAGTGTAGCCATCTCTATGAAAGGATGTAGCTGAATTCACCAAATCAAGTAAGGAAGTTTGAGCCATTTTTGCCCAAGTATGCAAAACTGTAAACTGTTAATAGTTTTCCTCTCTTCTAGGGAAATAAGAAATATTTCAAACGCAGTGAATTAGCTAAAAAAGAAGAGGAGGCCTACTTTCAGAGATGTGGCTACAAGGTATGGTAATTGTTCTTCCAGGAATTTGTATGTTTACTTTGAAGTCTACATTTTATTATCAACAGTATAAATGTTGTTAATGATAATTGTTGTTCTTTGTTCAATCTGTTAATGTTATACATTAGCCTGTAAATGAGAAGCCACCTGGAGAGGTATGAGTTTCCAAAACCATTTTCAATGCAGGAAAAGATATGCATGATATACAGCTACTTAAGTTTGTGTTATGGTTTGGCTTTTGTTTATTTTTTTTTTTGTGGAAAGCATGAAGTGGCTTGGGATCAAAGCTTGTTTTCCTTTCTTTTTAAATTGTGCTGTTAGGCATGAACACTGGATCTAATATAGTCAC